CCAGACTGTAGGTATTCCATTGCCCTGAACCTCTACATATGGGCTGTCTCTCGAAACCTTGGTTGATTGCCTGTCAATTTGTGTGGTTTCGCCTTGGTGAGGTGAGGAATCTGCTTCGTGTACGTGGGTGTTGAGCGAGTGAGGAGTGTCTCCCGCCACGATTAATGCATGCCAGCCATGGGCACCAGTCTTACAGTTGCCCGATCCTCCCGAGGCGCTCGCTTTGGCTGCGGGGATGACGCTGATGCTGACTGACGATGGAGGAGGAGCCAGGTGACACGGTCGAGGGGCTCTTTCGACGCTGTGTGCCAGCACCGTCATTGACGACGTTCCTGGAACAACATACCCTTGGCATGGGTGTTGCGACGCTTTGTCAGGAGATCCCATTCTCCGGCCCCTTTTTTTTCCATGTGTCACCGCCAATTCTTGAGTTCAACTCTTGGCTACGGTAGAGGCGGCGAGGACGATGCACCAACCATCTGAAAGAGGTGACTTGGATGATCAGCGTTTCCGCGAACGAGCAACTCTCTCGTCCTGACCCTGACTGACTCTGGCCAGTCTCCCTGTCGATTTCATGTCTTGCCCACTTTCTCCCTGACCGCCGCGCGCCCCTTCTGATCAATTTGGCTCCAGTCGTTGCCCCTCAGGCCAATCTCTCGTCTCGCATCTCGGACATTCTTCTCTGCCATTTGCCAGCTTGGCTGCCGTGTACCGAAGGCTGTTTTGGGGGGGGGCAGGCGAATGGCCTGGAGGGGAGGGCCCCATGTCCAGGACAGGAACCTACCACAAAGGGACAGCGAGGAGGGCAAGGGGACACTCGGGCTCAGGGACACTACTACACCACCACTGTGGTGGGTTAATCAGAAGATACGTACCTCTCTCGCAGAACCTTGCTGCACCCAAGGTAGGTACCTATCTGGGTGCCTTACCTAGGTGGGAACCTGCCTAGGTCCGGTACCTAGGTAGGTAGGCAAGAGAGAGAAGGGTGGAGGGAACACCTAAGGTACCTTAGGTAGGTACACGAAGTCGCTCACTTACCGTACCTTACCTTAGAGAGCACGTTCTCAGTAAAGCCTGATTCCGCCAACTTTTCTTCCCCATCGCTTCCTCCCTCCCACCACTGCATTGCGATCCTCGGATTTCCACACCCCCTTCTGCGGCGCCTTGCCCCCTTCCTCACGCCCCCGGACTTGCACCAGAAACAGACACTGCTGGCCGCCCACCTTTAGTTTCACACCCGTCTGCCGTCACTGGTAAACAGGGTGGAGGGCATCTCTCTTTTCGCCTCTTTGGCGCCCGAAGCCCTGCCCCCGCCTCTCCTCTTGCGCCCTGGTCCCCCCTGCACTCAAATCGCTGCCTTATCCGGGTGCGAATGACATAGTACACGCTGTCATTGCTGTTTCTGCCCTGTCCACTAACTTTTTTTTTCTTTCTGGTCTCACACCCATCCAGTCCATCCATGCCCTGGGGGCCGACTTGTCTCTGACACGGACCCAGGAGACAGAGTCACTCTACTCTGTTTTGCTCTGCTTTGCTTCACTGTGCAGTACTTGGCTTTGCTTCGCTGTCAAGGTAACCCACTTTTCGTCGGTGTGGTTTCCTCGAATCCAACCCACTGCTCACCTTGGTATCGGTTTCCCTCGCATTCCACCTGACCTTGCCTCGGGCCTGGGACAGCAATTCGGACGCCTTGTACTCTGTCTGGGCGCCTCCTTTTCCCATCTGTTTGGTGCTTGGCTGGTACATGGCATGTCCTGCCCCGGCCCCCAAGCTCCAGTCATCATCAGCAGTCGCGCTTGAGCGCCAGCGCCACTACCGCCGTCATCAGCAAGGCACATACAATGTACGTTCCTGTGTGCCAATCTTTCTTTAT